CCATCTAACAAATATTGATTAAGTCAGTGGCGGGCGTGGTCTCGAAGTAGTGATAGATCGAGCCTGCGTCCTGCTCCCTAGGGAGCTAATGTGTGGCTGGTGACGGAAGAGGGCTGGGGTCAGGGGAGACCTGACAGAACCAGGTCCTAGAACCATGTACCCAGTTGAGACTTCCCTGGCGGGCGTGGTCTCGAAGTAGTGATAGATCGAGCCTGCGTCCTGCTCCCTAGGGAGCTAACGTGTGGCTGGTGACGGAAGAGGGCTGGGGTCAGGGGAGACCTGACAGAACCAGGTCCTAGAACCATGTCCCCAGTTGAGACTTCCCTGCTCCAGCTCCATGAGGCAATGGCCCTGTTTTCTTGCCTCAGTTTCCTCATCTGCAAAATGGGTTCTCCTGGGGGAGGGCAGTGCTGAGCAAGATAACAGGAAAAGCCAATGACGTCCAAAAGAATAATGCTATCAGCAAAATACACCTACAGTCCAGCCGCTTGTCCCCCCTGGTCCAGCCACCACTGGCTCCTGCCTGGTCCGGCGCCAGCCATTAGAAAATGATGCCAGCCCCATATACAATTTAAACTTTTCTGGTATCTCATGAATAAATATAAAAGAAAGAGGTGAAATGGATCTATTTAAGACAATATATGCAACATGTCATCATTTCAACATGGAATCAATATAAAAAATGATCTGTTTTACATTCTTTTGGTTTGTTGGTCTGCACAGTCTTCAGTATTTGGTGTGTGTTTTTACTCACAGCTCCTCTCTGTTGGGATACGCCAGCGGCCAGCAGCTGCCGTCTTGCACAGCGCAGCTGCACCACTGCAGTCGCCTCCTGCCGGCCTCACCGTCTTGTCCCCACACGCCGCCGGAAGATCCCAGAACACCTAAGTCAGCTCACGTCTCTCTGCTCAAAACCCTCCCAGTGGCTCCCCTCTCAGAGCAAAAGCCCAAGTACCCCAGGTGGCCCATGAGGTCCTGCAGGCCCTGTCCCCATTCCCTTCTCCATCCTCCCTTACTCATTTCCAGCCTCTGGTCCCCTCGCTCTTCCTCACACTCTCCAAAATGCTCTTTGCACATGCTGTTCCCTCTGCCTGGACCACTCGGTGCCCAGATTTCAGCATGGCTCCCTTATCGAGTCTATTCCAATGTTGCTCCCACAATGTTTTCTTGCTGCCCTACATTAGCCACTGCCCCACACACCTCCATCTCCTCCTCCTGTTTTATTTTTCTCCATAGCATTGTCTTTACCTGGTATATTCTACATGTTTGTGTTTATTTGTCTATTGACAGTCTCTCCAACCAAAGGTCAAGTCTGTGTATGTCCTATTCATGGCTGTAACCCCAGAGTCTAACACAGAGCCCAGCACATAGTAGGTACTCAATAAACACTCGTCAACTGGTGAATTATCAATGACCCCATGTACCCAGTGGCCGCTCTGGGACAGGCTCAGCACTGAGAATTCCATGCCCCTACCCAGAGAGGTCGATGTCATGACCACCCACCACCCACTTTAAAGAGAGGTAAAAGCCCCTACCCACGATCACATGATCTACTTTCTGCGCAGCCCGCAGGAAACTGCAGCTCCTGATCAGACCAAGGATCCGGGTTCGGGAGCACCAGAGGAGGGGCCGGAGGGGTGCGGGATGGGCATGGATTGGGAAAGGAGAGGGCAGCAGGCAGAGAGTTGTCGCTGTGGTGCTGCAGGCTGTGGAGAGCCATGGCAGATTCTGGAAAGAAGCCGGGTTCTGCTCAAGAGCCTGGCCTCGTCATGCTCCCCAGTCAGAGGACAGGTCACAGAAACCAGGGGCTCCCTGGAGACTCCTATCTCTGTGTCATCCACACCTGGTGTCCAGTTCCGCAAACACTCTAAACCCCTGCTCTGTGCTGGAC